GAGCCAAAGGACTGAGGGGAGCGGATAAGAGGTAGCTGTTAATGTAGTTTGATGAAGAGTTTGTTACAATTTAAAAGCTGGTGGAGTTTTCTGTCTTTGACTGATCTTAGTAACATAATTAGTAACATGTTTACAGAATTAGTAGTTTTTCTTACTTTTCCTGAAAGAATCACAGGAGAAGTTTAAGGTATTTGGAAATTGAATATTCTGCCTCAACTAGCTTGTGATTGCATCTACAATTATTGTGGATTTCTCCTTCCTCTCTGATCAGAAACTGGGTTAACATATATCCCCTCATATATCCCCCCCCCCAAATATATACTAGGGAAGGAATAAGAATTATACAACATGTCCTTAATATATATTATATCTCATTATGAAGTTTAAGTGTAAGGAGGATAATGATAAATAAATTTATACGTCCTAAAAACAGGATAGAAAGATAATGCAGAAATAAATGGCTTGGAGCCCATCATGTCATGATGTCCATCAGGTTACCAACTTGCCTACCTTTATTATTCTGTAGATTCCTACAATAAAAATCTAGAAATGTTATTTCCAAAATGTCTCTTGCCCTAGTGTAGATATAATATAGATATAATTGGTACCTTTAGAAAATAAAGCAGTTTATATGACTGCAAGCCAATGTTTTATTTAGAAATATCAGCAAGAAGACAAAATTAAACTTGGATGATCAAGTGCATCATGAGAGGGTAGTTGTAACTGGGGAGATATTTCTTTTTCGGAGAAAATGTTTTGGATTGACTGTCTTCCCATGGCCTTCATTTTGTATTTGAGGAGCTGCCACAAAGAAAAGGGGGACAACCTATTTTTCAAAGCCATGGATGGAAACTAATCAAGGAGAGAAGCAACCTAGAACTAAGGAGAAATTTCCTGACAGTGAGAACAATGAAGCTTTTAAGCAATGTCATAGTCACTCTTTCTCCATGAAAAGAAGAGAAACAGGAAACTCTTAAGTCTTCAGTACCATCTAGTGGCCACTGTTTATTTTGTAATCCAGATACGTTATTTCATTAATTTATCTTTATATTTAAATAGGAAGTCCTCAATTTATAACCACAGTTGAGCCCAAAATTTCCATTGCTAAGGAAGACAGTGGTTAAGTGAATTGTGCCTCATTTTAGAACTATTTTTTCTATAATTGCTAAGCTAATCACTAAAGCTGTTAAGCAAATCTGGCTTCCCCATGAAATTTGCTTGTCTGAAGCTCCCTAAGAAAGTTGCAAATGACAATTCCAGGACCCTGGGATATTGCAACAATTATAAATACATGCCAGTTGCCAAGCACCCCAAATTTGATCACATGACTGTGGGGAAGCTGCATGTGAATATGAAAATTGGTCATGTCACTTTTTTCAGCGCATTGTAACTCTGAGTGATCATTAAACAAATAGTTGTCCTATTTTACCCACAATAGCCCGAAAAGATGGTTTGGGCTAAGTGAGAGTGACTGGACTAAAGTTACTCAGCTGGCTTTTACTGTATGTTTAAGGTAGGATTAGAACTTAGTCTCCCAGTGTCTAGCTTGATATCTTAATTCCTGGGCCAAATTAACATTAGTTTCAACAATATAGCGTACTACAATCCTCATCTTGCACTCTCAATAATGGAATTATGCTTGACCAACCACACTCAACATGTAGTCCTCAATGGGACTGCATCTACATGGAAGGAAGTATGCAGTGGGGTACCTGAAGGCTATTTTAGGCCTAGTCAAAATCTTCATCAATGATTTGGATGAGGGGATAAATGGGGAACTCATCAAATTTACAAAAGACAGCAAACTGGCAGGAATAGCCAACACTCCAGAAGATAGGCTTAAAATAACAGATAATCAGAGTTGGAAGGGACCTTGTAGGTCATCTAGTCTAACTCCACCCCCAAGCAGGAGACCCTACACCATTTCTGACAAATGGCAGTCCAATCTCTTCTTGAAAGTCTCAAATGAGACTTTGAAACCACAACTTCCGAGGGCAAGCTGTTCCATTGGTTGATTGTTCTGTCAGAAAGTTTCTCCTTATTTCCAGGTTAAATCTCTCCTTGTTCAGTTTCCATCCAATATTCCTTGTCTGGCCTTCGGGTGCTTTAGAAAATAGCTTGACCCCTTCCTCTCTGTGGCAGCCCCTCAAATATTGGAAGACTGCTATCCTGTCTCTTCCTGGTCCTTCTCTTCACTAGACAAGCCATGCCCAGTTCCTGTAACTGTTCTTCATATGCCTTAGTCTCCAGTCCCCTAATCATTCTGGTTGTTCTTCTCTGCACTTTTCTAGAGTCTCAACATCTTTTTTATAATGTGGTGACCAAAACTGGATGCAATACTCTATGTGTGGTACCTCACTTGATCTCGATTGTATCCCCGTTAATGCAATTTAGGATTGCATTAGCTTTTTTGGCTGCTGCTGCACACTGCTGGCTCATATTTAGCTGGTTGTCCACTAAGACTCCAAGATCCCTCACACAGATACTGCTATTGAGCCTGGTTTTACCCAATCTGTATGTGTACTTTTGGTTTTTCTTGCCTAAGTGGAGGACTTTACTTTTCTCTACATTGAATTTCATTTTATTAGATATGGCCCAGTGTTCTAGTCCAGTGATCCCCAACCTTTTTTACGCCACGGCCCGGTACCGGCATCAGCTGGGCGCCGCGGCCCGGTACCGGCATCAGCTGGGCGCCATCTTTTTTTGATGAAAACGTGCTTCCAGTGAGCTTTCTACCCGGAAAAGCTCACCGGAAGCGCTGGCGCCGCCATCTTTTTTTGATGAAAATGTGCTTCCGGTGAGCTTTCTACCCGGAAAAGCTCACCGGAAGCACTTTTTCATCAAAAAAATATGGCGGCGCCCAGCAAGCCAGCGGCCCGGTAGGAGTTGTTCCGCGGACCGGTACCGGTCCGCGGACCGGTGGTTGGGGACCCCTGTTCTAGTCTGTCAAGATCCATCTGTATCTTGAGCCTATCTTCTTGCGTGTTAGCTATTCCTGCCAGCTTAGTATTATCGGCAAAATTTGTAAGTTCCCCTTCTATTCCCTCATCTAAGTCCTTAATGAAGATATTGAAGAGTACTGGGCCTAAGACGGAACCTTGTGGCACTCCACTGCTTACTTCCCTCCATGTAGACTTGGACCCATTAAGGACTACTTGTTGAGTACTGTTTGTCAGCCAGTTGCAAGTCCATCTGGTGGTGGTGCTATCTCTTTCATTTTTTTCTAGCTTACTAAGAAGTAGGTTGCGGTCTTTGTTGAATGCCTTGCTGAAATCTAAATATATTATGTTCACAGTATTTTGCTGGTCTACTAATTTAGTCACTATGTTGAAGAATGAAATAAAATTGGTTGGCATGATCTGTTTTTAACAAACTTGTGCTGACTGCTAGTTATTACTTCACTTGTTTTTAAGATTTTGGCAGATTTGTTTTTTTATTATCTTTTCCAGTATCTTCCCAGATATTGATGTTAGGCTGATTGGTCTATAGTTTCCTGGGTCTGTTTTTCCCCCCTTTTTTGAAGATGGGAACTACACCAGCTCTTTTCCAGTCCTCTGGTAGTTCTCCGGTGCTCCAGGATTTTTGAAAGGTATGGTGCAGTGGTTCTGAGATGACCTATGCCAGCTCCTTTAAAACTCTGGGATTTAATCTGTCAGGCCCTGATTTAGAACGATATTGACAGACTTGAACGTTGGATGCTGCCTAACAAAATGAAATTCAATGGTGAAAAAAGTAAGGTTCTACATTTAGAAAAACCAAATGCACAAGTACATGTGGTATCGTGCTCAATAGTAGCAACTGTGAGAGAGATATTGGAGTCCTAATGGACACTTAAATATGAGCCAGCAGTATGCTGTAGTTGCCAAAAAAGCCAACATAGTTCTAGGTTGCATAAACAGAGGGATAGAATCAAAATCACGTGAAGTGATAATACCACTTTATAATGCCTTGGTAAGGCTACACTTGGAATACTGCATCCAATTTTGGTCGCCACGATGTAAAAAAGATGTTGACACTAGAAAGAGTGCAGAGAAGAGCAAGAAAGATGATTAGGGGACTGGCGGCTAAAACAGGCAAAGAACAAGTTGATGGAATTGGGTATGTCTATTTTAATAAAAATTATAGGAGTAACATGATAGCAGTGTTCCAATATTTCAGAGGCTGCTACAAAGAAGAGGGACTCAACCTGTTCGCACCTGAGGACAGGACAAGAAGCAACGGATGGAAAAACTAATCAAGGACAGAAGCAACCTAGAACTAAGAAAAAATTCCCTAACAGTTAGAACAATTAACCAGTGGAACTTGCCTCCAGAAATTGTAAATGCTCCAACCATGGAACTTGTAAAGAAGAGATTGGATAATCATTTATTTGAATTGATATAAGGTTTCCTGCATAAGCAGAGAGTTGGACTAGAAAACCTCCAAGGTCCCTTCCAACTCTGTTATTCTATTCTATTCAATGAAGTGGAAAAGCCCCCCCGCCCCCCCGCGAGAGAAACAACATCTTAATATACTTGTGATTGAACAGGCATTCTGCTAAAAAAAGGTGTCGGATTCAAATAAATTGCACATTTATCTAACGCCTTTCCTCTCTCAGCCTCTGCTCCCACGAATTCCCTAGCTCTTGGAAGGTAGACACAACCCACTTCCTTTGAAAACGGCTTTTCAACTGCGCGACACAGGGTCGAAAAGGCAGGAGCGCCAGAAACTGCCAGTGCCGCTTTGGGACGGGGTGTGTGTGTGAGAGAGAAGGCGGAGGTCATTATCTCCAGCTCCCACCTCTGAAGTGTTTGGCATGATCTCTCTAGGCGGGTTTCCCCATCATATCAGGAGGAATGTGTAGCTTTTCCGGGTCTCCGCTCAGAAAGGAACACCCAACCCGGCGTCTAACTTCTCTAGCTCCCTCTCTAGGATGACGAGCGTCCACTTCCGCCGACGCCAAAGCCGCGTCTTGTGACGTGTGGCGTCCATCGCGAAGGGCATTGTGGGAGCGAGATAATTGTCGCGTAGGAAGTTAGGATTGAGAAGAGGAAGGAGGAGGAGGAGGAAGAAGTGGATTCTGAAGGGAGCCTCCATTTTGGCTGGGTAGCCACTGAGAAGATTTTTTTTTCCCTGCTGGATCGTTGTTGGATCTTGTCTGCCGCTTGCTTCCTCGTTCCTCGTCACCAAGTGAGGTTGCCTCTTTCTCTCTGTGTGGCAAGTGCTCTGCTTATTATATCCGGGAGCGGCTGCGGCAAAAGGATGGCGGCCGAGAGTCGGGAAGAAAAAGGTATGGAATGTATCCCCTTTTCTCCCCTTCCTCCTCCTGTACTGCATGCTGCCATGGCAGCGGGGCTGCCCGTAAGTACGTGGGAAAGCGCGATTAACGGTGGGTGTGACGCGTAGACGGCCCAGGACAGGCGGTCCCTGCCCTGAGGTAAACCACGCCTTTCCCTCGTTTGGAAAATGTCGGCCGGGGTTTAAGAGTTCACGGTAATGACTACTTTCCGTCTCCTGGAAGGGTCAGGCTAGGGGAGGGTTTGAGCATTTAACAGTGATAAAACTCAGGTCAGGAAACCAGATCGAAGGCCGAAAAGTGTTTGATTTCATTACATGGGATCCAGCCGGGGGCGAGCACGGATGGATTCGGAAAGAGTTAAACTTTTCTCTTAAAATATGTAGGACGTAATTTGTGTGAACTACTTTTATGGACGTATTATTGATTCTGGTTTTTATTATTTTATCTGTCTGTATTTTGATAATCGCAATTCACCCTCAAGGTCCTATTCATGTATGAAGCTGAAGCTGAAACGATAAAGCCATTATTTGAGGTTGATTTAGAATACAAGAATCTGAATTTATAACTTTGCATATGCAGCTGCTGTGATATATTAGATTTTTGATTTCATGTACAGTTTTTGGGGAAACTTCAAATGTTCACCCCATCTGTTAATGTTCAATAACTACATGGTAGGAAAAGGCTTCCCGGAAACATAGGGAAAGACATCTATGTATGTAGCTAAGATTGGGGAAACCTGGCTTGAACACTACCTCTGCCCACTGAAGCCCAAGAGGTGATTTTCAGAGAATCACTCTCTAGGTTGTTGTGAGGATAAATGGACACAGGTGACATCACAGGTGACAATGACATCACAGAATTAGATAATACAGTAGACTAGCTGGTGATGGCCAGTATCTTGGAGAATTTGCAGTTTTACCTTGGAAATTGAGAATGGTATGGAGTACAAGCAGAGAAACTGTTTCTACTATGTGTTTTCTCAATCATGTGACTGTCCATTGCAAGTACCACATGACCTAGAGAAAAGTAGTCTGCTTTAAGTAGTTGCTGACAGGAGCTGCATTTACACCCCCATACACTATGAATTTTATTTAAATAATGTGTATGGCCATCTATTTCATAAAAGTGACTTAGCATCATACAAGTACCGAAACATTTTGGTTTAATGTAACTTCTGTCATTAGTTTCTTAAAATTGAGAGTTTATTGGGGGTTGAAGACACACAGTATGAAATAATCCTGGTAATTCTATCAAAAATTGATCTGTCCCTTATGAATTTCAAATATTTTTCTTGGGATGTTTTTCATAATTTGAAAGCTCTTATATGCATGGCAAAAATGTCCTTAATTATATAAAATCCTTCCCTCAGGCTATACCCAACCTGTATCTTATATATTGTGCACATTCAAATTAGTATAATGATGTTCCTTCTAATTAAAGGTTTTTATGTAAGTGGCATACCATTAAAGATTGATTTAAGGTATGCATTCTCAACAAGATTATTTAAAATTGTTTAATGTTATACTTCATTGGGGGATTATTGTAATTCCAGTGCCATCTTCTGTTCTAATATATGTAGGATCTGAATGAATCTCTTCTACAGAGAGAATTTCCAGTAATTGTACAGATAGTAAATAAGAGAAGTCCCATATTTTTAACCAGTGCCTAGCTACTAGGATATTCCTATATATATGTGACTATTACATACTAAACAGATTTCTAAAATCTGCTTTGAGCTGATTATTTGTAAATGTACATTCTCTATCTTTGTGCCATTTTGCTGCTATTCAAAAGGGGGAAAATGTCTCTGGGCCTGCCCTAATTCTTCAGACCATCCCTATGTTCCCTTGTATCATGAGTACAAAAGTGAAGTTATAATCCTGGCTGAAAGTTACCAACCACCCAAATTGCAGAAAATTTGCTGAGGGGATTATTTAAAATAAACATTTTTCAAACATTGAATTAATTCTCAGAGGAAAAAACAGTAATATAGCTATGTTCTTACCTAGTAGGAATCTCTATAGAGTGTTTTAAAGTCTTTTTCCCCTCTTCTTTTCCTTTCAGATTGTACAGATCTCAGCTGAAGTTCAGCTGAAACTCACTGAGCAGCTTGAATATTTACTTTAAATCTGTATTTGAATCAGTAAATATGGGCACTCATTGAAAGGGGAATTAGCTTGAAATTCAGTTGTATAGATAAATTAAAAATTAAGCAAGGTCTTGAATTAAACTCATAAAAATTTGGATTGGATAGTTTCCATTAGATTTAACCTTTTATAAACGCATACCTGTAAGCCTTATAGTGTGTAGTATACTTGTTTTTGCTTTGAAACCTTAAAACTGCTAACACCTTTAGTAGCTTCCATACAATCTTTTGCACTCCTGTTGCCTTTTCAGTAACTATCCTAATTAGTTCTCTCCAGCATCATGGATAAATGAAAAAATATTGCAAGATATTCAAAAACCTAGCTTGTTATCTTAACTTCTGTTTATTTGCTAGCAATACTAATGATGAGAGGCTCTCTTTGCTAAATCATAAGTTTACTTTTGAGGTAGATAGTAGTTAGCTTTTCCTCATCATAAGAGGTAAAGGCTTGAAAACTTCTGAATCCAGACAGTAAAAAAAATAGGGTAGTGATATCGCCGGCATCATATAACAGATACCTACCTGGCTATTACCTAATAAAGGAGAATAAAATTTAGAGCTAAAACTATAGAATTTAAACATTAAAAGTGAGAATATAATCTTGGTTCAAATATCTCTATATGAAGATTTCAACAGATTAAACTGGCTTTTACTGACTTATCTAGAATGGGGGCATTTTAATGCAGCTTTTTAACTTGAGTGTAACCATCTTGGCTTAATGTAGGAGTGAGTCAGTTTTTATCAGAACATATTGCTAGTTATAAAATTAAGGTATAAAATATAGTTTTTAGAACCTGTTTATTCATCTTCCTGAACTTTTTCTCACTGAAGTCAATCCAGAAGTCCCCTCCCTGTCAAAGAAATTTATAAATGTTATTTACACTGACCAAAAGTATTTAGACAATAAAGACTGGATCAGTCCTGTTGTCTTTTTTTTCTTTCCTGTTTTCTTCCTGGGAGTCATACAATGTAGCTCCAATTCTTAGGAATGTGCAGAAGTCTTAGATATATCATTAAGGCATGTAAAGATAGATGCCAGAACTGAGGCCTGCAATCTGTATTCTTTTTCATAGAAAATGGGTAATTGGATCATAAAAGAGGCTTTCCACTTTTAAGTTATTAGTTCAGTTTGGGGGTATGAGAGACAACTACTATGATACTGGCAAGTGAGGAGCAGGTCGCCTTAGATTCCTGTTGAACTGCAATGATGGGAAATAAAGATTTAGGGAAGAACTATAAAATAACTCACCACAAGTTTCTTTCTTGTGTTGACTATTATTTTATCAAGTGTGTAAGAACTCCTTGCTCCATAAAAATTACGATAATCTAGAGGCCACTATCTTTTTAAAAATTAGTCAAATTACATAATTTCAGATAAGTGGCACCCATTTTCTTTCTTTTGATTAAGCTTTAATACATAAGTCAAGGTAGTCCTTGACTTACATATACAACTCAGTTGTATTTCCATTGCTAAGCAAGGCAGTTAAGTGAGTTTTGCCCCATTTTTTATCTTTTTTGCCACAGTTGTTAAGCGGATAACTGTAGTTGTTTATCATGCAGTCATTAAGCAAATTTGACTTTCCCCAATAAGTTGACTGGCTACAAATGATGATCAGATGACCCTGGGATATTGTAACCATCATAGCTACATGCCAGTTGCAAGCACCCAAGTTTGGATCACGTGACCTTTGGGATGCTGCAATGGTTGTAAGTGAAAAGTGTTCACAAATCACTTTTTAAAGTGTTTTAACTTCAAATTATCACTAAATGAATAGCTGTAAGTCAAGACAGCCTGTATTTTTAAATTCAAAATTTTGCTGTGTGAATAATTTTTAGATTTGTTAATTTTAAAGGCTTCCGGTAAGTTAGCCTTTAATGCATACACCAATAGTTAAACCAGGGTTGTGTCATGAAATAGAAGATTGCCTGGCAGTGTCCATTTATTTAGTATTTATTTGATTTGTCAATCGCTTATAAGATACAAGAATAAATATAGGTATAAGGTATAAGAATAAATATAGTTTTGAATACATGAGATAGATACTTATAAGAAAAATAGAAAAAAAACAATAGGACAGGGACGGTAGGCACGATTGGTGCATATTAAATTAAAATGTTATGCAACACTAGACTCTTCTTGGAAATTAAATAGGCTTGAGTTAAATTCCCCACTTTTGCAGATCATTTCATTCTGGAGTTGTTTTTGTTTTTGTCTATGTAGATTATTTTCTGTTAACTGTATGGCTTTCTTTTGATACCTAGGCTAATTGTTAATGGAGAGTTTTCAATATTAACTACAGAAAAGTATTAACGGATGAGACTAATTTTTAAAAAATTATATGAAATTATGGCATAAGTAATGATGCTGGATCCCCATTCCTTCATATTATATGCTCCAGTAATATCATTATGTCCATCAGAAAGTTAAAGTGTTTATCATTTGTATTGAACACTAACTTACAAATTAATTCCATGATCTTCATAATGGTGAGGACAATAGGCAGGAGCACCATTAGAGAAAACAATTTTTATAATATGGAAATAAAGAATCATATTGCTACTTCTTTGTTAAGAAGTTATCAAGAATTGATAAACAAGGTAGAGATTTCTCCTGTCCAGTCATGTCCAACTCGAGGGAGCAGTTTCTTGGCCGAGGGAGCCCATGTAGTCCAAAGACATTTCTATGGTCTTATGGCAGCATGACTACCCACTGAGGTGCACAGAGTGCTGTTACCTTCCAGACAAAGTGGTATCTATTAATATTTGCATGCTTTTGAACTGCTAGATGGCAGGAGCTGGGGCAAGTAGCATGAACTCACTTCATGATACAAAGCTAGGGCCTCAA